TTACCTTCCTCTCTCATTCATATACATATATATTCATATATATGTGTATGTATGTTCATGGTTGTGAGGATCATAGGAGGTAATCTATGTAAAGTTCTTTGCAAACCATAATGCACTATATAGATATCAGCTAATAATAATATTTTTTGTTTATATCTGTGATTTCTTTGGTGAAGGGGATTCATGATGAGGAAACTAACTCCCTCTAGCAATGCAGATTGACAGTTGTTCAGCACTTAGGGTTTTAGAAAATTCACTGGGCACTGAAAGGTTAAATGGCCTGCCCGAGTCACAAAGTCAGTATGTGTCATCAGAGGCTGGACTTGAACTTGGGTCTTTCTGACTTTGAGGCCAGTTGTCTGTCCACTACCCCTGCAAAGTCTCTATAAGAAAGATATCATTTCAGAAAACTTTGAAAAAACTGAATGGCAGTGTCATTCCACTTTTGGAAATCTCTAATTATGAAAGTTTCCCCCTATTTTGAGCTAAAATCTGCCTCTCTTCAACTTCTACCCTTTCTTCCTATTTATTTCCTCTGGGGCCACTCAGAACAAATCTGTCCCCTCGTCTAGATCTTAGAAATGGTTTATTCTCCAGTCTTCCCACCATCCTGGTCACTCTGCTCTGAACTCACTAGAGTTTTTTTCTTTCTGAAGTATGTCCCCATTGCTCCAGGGGTGGGCTGACCAGAGCAGTGGTCAGGGAGGCAATTTTATCCCATTCCTATTTGTCTGGTGCAATTTTATCCCATTCCTACTTGTTTTGCCATCCAGGGAAATGGGAAATCATTCCACAATCTCATCTTGCCAGGCTTGGCTTTATATCTTTGATGGATTACCAATTCCAACTCAAACATCAGTCTGACCTGAAAGGATCCCAAAGTAGATTAAGTTCAGTGGAGCAGGATCTTGCAAAGACATCCATGTTTGGGAAGGGGGGAATGGAGAGACAGAGGAGATGAAGAGAGAGAGAGAAGTGGGGGGAGGGACAAAGAAGAAAGCATTGTGGGT